GAATTAGCTATTTGATATAATATTTTATTCCATGCTTCAACCTCTTCAAACATATGAATGTTACACATGTCATACTATGTGTGACCAAGGGAGATTCTCAAGTCTTAACTTCACATTAAGGAGTGTACATTTCAATCTAATGTGGTGGACAATAACACATCCATTATATAAGTGTTTAAAGCTACGACCTATTGAATAAGCAAGCTCTAGCCAAAGATTGAGCACTATAGCTACGACCTATAGTATAATGTTGAGTTATACTAAAATATGATTAATATAATTAAAATGAAAGTCATAAAATGAAAAAGAATGAATTTCTTCTCGAATATTAAGAGGCATTTAATTAAAACCTGACTCTGAAAATTCATTCATAAGGATACAAAGTGAGTAAAATTCTCATACATAATACTTTTTTATCTATTGAAAGTTGACTAGCACTGTAATGGCGTTGGTCTTTAGGCTCATTAACTTGTAATATCCATTCTCATTCATCTAGTGAACAATGTAAGGTCTTTCTCACTTTGGATTGAATTTAGTCACTGACATTCCTCCTCTAATATGCTTTGTTGCTCGGAGTACTAAGTCACCTTCTTCAAAGCTTTTTTTGCTTACCAACTTATAATATGCTTTACCTAATCTTCTTTGATATGTGGACAAATTATTCTTAGCTCTATCTTTTATTTCTTCCAATGTTTCTAATTCCAACATCCTTAAAGCATCGTTGTTAATTTCAGCATCTAAGGTCAATCTCGTGGACGGAATTAGAATTTTCACGAGTAGTATAGCTTTTGTACCATATACCAAGGAAAAATGAGTGGCTTTGGTAGGTCTTCACTTGAAGATTATGTATGGAGAACATCATGCCATATCTTTAGCTTGTCATGGACCATTCCACTTAGCCCTTTGAATAGAGTCTTATTGGTGGCTTCAGTCGAACAATTCTTCTTAGGGTAAAAGGGGGTTGATTTCATGTGGCCCACATCATAGAGAACGAGTCGTTCCTTTACATTAGAATTGATGAATGCAGTGTTGTTGTTTGACAAAATATGCTTACATATTTTAAATTTACATATGATGTTATGTTTGATGAAAATGGTCATTGTCGATCCAGTTGCATTCTTCATGTGAAAATCTTCTACCCATTTAATGAAACACTTTGTTGTTGTAAGTATCCATGCATGTCTTCTAAAAGAGGAACTAATAAGTCTAATCAAGTTAAACACCCAAATGCGGAAAGGTAGGGAGTGATGATGGTATGAAGTTTTATAGTTGGAGCATGTATCATGTTTCCATGAACTTGACATCGATTACATTACTTTATGTGACTGACCACATCCACTTCCATGGTAGGTCAATAGTACCCAATATCCAAGAGTTTTTGATAAAGCTTCCTTCTTCTTTCATGTTCACCATTACTTCTAACATGAACTTCTTCCAATAAGGGGATTACATCAGCAAGAGAAACACATTTTAAACATATTTTAATGGATTTCTCACAAATGATACTTTAAACAACTAATTCCCTTTAAGGAAGAAACAATGAGCTCTTTTCTTCAATTGTCTTCTTTTCAATGTATTCCTTTTAATGGTTTGGACTTGAAGGGTTGCAACGATAAAAGATACAAGTTAGGAAATGGTCGCCATCGTCCTTTGTTGTTATCCTCCAACATATGCATCCATTCTTAGGAAGCAAAGAGTATGTTCTTGAGCTCCTGGACATAGGTGGAATGGGTGTTGGTTGGTTATTAAAAGAACTCTCCATATTTTCTTGTAATGCAATTTTCAATGACATTCACTTAATGTAATCCTTCAACCCAATGGAGTCACCAAAATGTAAAGGGTTCTTTAAGTAAAAAGAGAGGAAATGTTGCAATAAGTAAAATGAGATTGGAGCAATCCTTGAAGTGTTAAGTGTTTTGTGGTAAAAGGTGGGAGATTAGGGAAAAGGTATAAAAAGTGTGATGGTAGAGCACAATGGAGAATAAAAGACGATAGAGTTGAGTAAAAAGAGAGAGAATATTTAGAAAAAGCTTAGTGAGAGAGCTTAAAAAGAGCTTTTAAAGAGAAATATGGTAAAATTCTAAGGTCTCCTGAATTGCCAAGCCCTTATATATATACTAATTAGGAACGCTTTCTTAAGAGCATTTGATAAAAAGTGTTTATTAGATAAATGAAAAACGCATGTTTAGGGAGGACATGTCCTTTATGAAAGAATATATTCATGATGGGAAGAACAAGTTCATTATATAATAACACAATAATCATGGGGATAACCCATTACATGCAGGTATTGGGTGGTGGGAAGATGTTTTGGTTTAATAACATAGTGGAGCTTAGTAATAGTTAACAACGTGTCACATGTTGTTTTGAGAAAGAGAGAAAAGATAAAGCGCATGTATTATAAAGAAAGGTTAAGATGAAGACCCCTTAACTATCTTCATATTTGAATCACCAAGCCAATTTTGTAGAACATCCCAAAAGTAGAACAACTCATTAACCCTACCATTTGCTCTAAGTTACTTTCATTGCTCTTCATGTGAGATAGATATTCTCCGCATGACATAGCTTTTTATGGTTGTTCTTATTGTATAGAACAACATTTAAAAGAATAGAAATACATTAGCCAAAATCAAGATTTACAGAAATGTCAAACTTGAAAAGATAGTTATACCTAAAATGATTTAAGCTCAAACCTTATTACTATATACACAAGAAAAATTGATTCAAACCCAAAAAGGCCTCATTAAATCTTCTACAAACTTGAATTTATGTTCTAAAATTAACAACCTAAAGCCCCTTAATATATTGGAATATGAAATAACTAAATAGATATATATAATTATTAATTATAGTTTGAATTTAAGACACTTCAATTTGAAATGGGCTTGCGTGCCTATTGAAATACTGTCTCAATGTGGAATGTTTTACTTGTTGTGAAATTCAAATTTTAACAAATTAACAAGTATTAATCATGAAATGGAAGGAAAGGAAAGAATTATCACCCAAGTTTTGCTTAAGCAAAACTTGTAATTAAGGACTAGTTGTAGAGATGGCAATTAATTGTATTGATTTTAAATTTGGTCACTTCGAGATAAGTGTTTAAAGGAAATATAAGTTATTTTCAAGATTCAGGTTATATCGAGTTTGACAATCCAATTATTTGGAGTTCAGATTATTTCAAATTCATATTGTTCATCTTTAAATTAGAAATAATTTAAATTGACATAATATCTAAAAAATCTTTAAACTATTCAAGAGAATTCAGATATGGCCTTACTCTTTTATTATATTCAATCAAGTCCTTTTACGCTTATTTGGAATCAAATAAACTCTTATATTTTTATCTTGAGTTAAATACACCCTTATAACTAATAGTCAGCTTAATCAAAATACCATTTATCATTTTATGTCATGTTGCATGTTGACATATCATATTAGATGACATCGTAGTATGCTAATGTGGCATTATGACATGATCATGTGACATTATGACATGATTATATGACATATTTCACCATTCACATCGACATCAGATTAATGCCATGTAGGCATAAAATGGTAAGTTTCATTTAATCAATGACAGTTAATCAAACTATTAATCATATGATTTATTTGATCCAAAATAAAAGTGAAGGGATTTAATTGAACGCAATAGAAGAATAATGAGTTATTTGAATTTTATTGTGTAGTTCAGAGGTTTTTCAAGTTATGGCATTTAAATTCAGATTTGAACCATTTCGAATCGAATAATTTCAATTTTGATTAAGTAGGTTCAACTTGTTTATTTTTTCTAGTTAAATCAATTTCAATTGGGTTCAAATTTGAGTGGACTTTTGTCAACTCTAATTATCTAATAGATTGGAAAAAAATACTAATAGAATAATACTAATGCATGTATATGGAATAAAAAAACTTTATACAAATTGTAATTTACAAGTGTTAATTGATTTCTAAGTATATAAAGGCAAGCTGGGGACGGATTCTGCAACATTTTCCTAGATGTTAGGGCAGGAAAGTGAGCTGGCACAATCACAACATACGAGCAAATTTTATCTTTCTTAATGTAACATTGGAAAAAGTTTTTAATTAATTAAAATTTAAATAAATTTTTATTCCTTTATTACGTTTTTATATTTTCATTTTAAACTAAATAATTTTTTTATTTTAACAAAATATAAAAAATTAATTAAATACAATAAAAAATAAAAACTTATTTACATTTGTTAAATAATTTAAGAATTTTTCTTTTTAAAATTAATGAATTGAAAACATGTTTGTCTAATCCAACATTCAATTAACAATGAGAACAACCATATGCATAAATAGACATGATCATGCATGCATGTTATAAGTTGGGGCTCAAAAAGATTGTCCCCCATCTTGTCCTTAAGGCACATAATTCATATTATCTCTAGAATATTTGAATTATAATAAATTTTCTTTCTATGGTACTTACTAAAGTAATGGCTGTGTCGAAGGCAAATACCAATAATAATCTACCTGAATATGAATGGAAACAACCATTAAAAATTAAAAAAAGAAAAAGGAAAAGCTTCATATGGTTATGGCAATCCAATAACAAAATCAAAGATCATCCAAAGACTGTTGTTAAACTCCTCATTAGTCCAAGGCACGTTAAGCCCGCAACCTCCAAAGTGATGAGTTGGCCAAAATCATGAATCCATTACCAAATATGAAATACCAGCCACTGATCTGTCCAGCTTCAAGCCTCCGCCTGACAGCTATTTTGGCCTTCGAATGGGTTTTTTACTCTGAATTTTGACATTATCTTAATGCATTCAACTACGTTAAGATGTGAAGTTGGACACAGAATATGTATTATCTCTTGTATAAAAAGGAAAACATACAATCTCCACAAACAAAGAGAGGATCCCACATTTCTCTCCATTTTCCACGGATACTTTCGTTTCATTTCTAACCAACAGAGACAGTAAATACGTTTTCTTGTTCGTTTCTATTAAATGGTGAATATTTAATGTTCCATGGAGTCTAATGATCTGGGATTTCTCCCTGGAACCTCCTACAGTTTGGTTTTGTTATAGTCTAGATGTTGACGTAGTTTTTGGGGTTTCTTATTTTAAATAAGGAGAGAGGTTTAGTTGATTTTGTTTTTCTTCTTTTATTTATTAATTTTCTATTAGTTAGGAGCTGGCATACGTTGAAGATGTTACAGAAATTGCCAAATCCAAGTCGATTTGGAGTTGGCTTTTGTAGGCCATTCATGTGATTAAATACAAGCATTCTATGGATTCCATGCAGCCACCGGATTGCTCTGATTAAATCATAAGTTTCAGATACATATTTATAGCTTTATACTATAGCAAGAAGGGGAAAAGATTTAGAAAAAGTTTCCCAAAGGAATTCCACCTGAATTCGGAATCCTAAGAAATGAGTTGTTTTTCATGTTTTTCTTCTCAAGACAAGAAGGCTAGAAGGCTAAACAATCCCAGCAGAAGGACGCAGACTTCTTATTATGCCGCCCCCCCAAGAGAAGCTCTTCCTCCCCAGCAAAGCCTCGGTATATATGCCACAATTCACCCCCTCCTGAATTTACAATATGGAGTCACCCTTTGTTTTTGTTTTTTGTTCTTGCTTCTATAGGTTTTTTAAGGTTTCTTTTATAGTTTTCTTGTTAGCTGAGGCCAAAAATATTTATTTCATGTTGAAGCAGTTAGGTGCAACAAGGAATGCAATAATCAATCATAATAGACAAATACTTCCTTTTTCTTTTTCGTATCTCTCCAACGCAAAGATAAGGAACAGAAATTGAATTCTTTCTTTCTTTCTTTCATCCTCCAGAGAATAATCCTAAGCCAAAGACCTCGGCACCTGAGCCTACAAAGAATACTGATGCCCCTAAAGCTACCGGTAACAACAACATTGCAGCACAAACTTTCACCTTCCGAGAATTGGCCACAGCAACCAAGAATTTTAGACAAGAATGTTTGATTGGGGAAGGTGGATTTGGGCGGGTTTACAAGGGAAACCTCGAAAAAACAGGCCAGGTAAAAGATTTTGCTTCATGTCTATTATATATGGTCTTCCGTGGCTTGTACAATTTTTTGAAAAGAATCTGTGTAGTCACATTTGAGTTACTTCGTTTTAGGTTGTAGCTGTAAAGCAACTTGATAGAAACGGATTGCAAGGAAACAGAGAATTTCTTGTTGAGGTGCTGATGCTAAGCCTGTTGCACCATCCAAACCTAGTCAATCTGACCGGATACTGTGCCGATGGAGATCAGAGGCTTCTGGTTTATGAATACATGCCATTGGGATCTCTAGAGGACCATCTACTTGGTACCATTTTTCTTTCATTTTCTTTTTTGAATGGTACAACATGTTGATGGATACGTACAGTTACACGAGGAATATAAATAAAGCTATAAATTATAGGAAATATTTAAATCTTAAAGGAAAGGATGCATTCAACTGCAATAGCTAGCTTTCAATATCAGTAAAAGAACTAGACGACTGACTGTTTTTATTATGAATTATGTGTCAACTTTCAGATATTACACCGGATCAAAAGCCATTAGATTGGTACGCCAGAATGAAAATAGCATTAGGTGCTGCTAAAGGTTTAGAATATTTGCATGATAAGGCGAATCCCCCTGTCATCTATCGCGATATGAAATCCTCCAACATCTTGCTGGATAAAGGGTTCAATGCAAAACTCTCCGATTTTGGGTTAGCAAAGCTAGGACCCACTGGGGACAAGACACATGTATCTTCCAGGGTCATGGGAACATATGGATATTGTGCCCCTGAGTATCAAAGAACAGGGCAGTTAACAGTGAAATCCGATGTTTACAGTTTCGGAGTTGTCTTATTGGAGTTAATTACTGGAAGGAGAGCCATTGACACCACAAGACCAAACAAAGAACAAAATCTAGTTACATGGGTAGGTCACTTTCTCCAAGCTCTTCAATCATGTTTCCTTTGTTCTGCTAGGAATTTGTTACCATAATATCTAGAACTGTTAGCGATTAAATGTTTTCATTCTTTTACCAGTCCTTCCTAACATAATCTTTGACCATTAACAGGCTGAACCATTGTTTAAGGAACCAAGGAGGTTTCCGGAACTCGCTGATCCACTTCTTAAAGGAGATTTCCCTGTAAGAGGCTTGAACCAAGCTGTCGCAGTTGCAGCCATGTGCTTGCAAGAGGAAGCATCCGTACGTCCCTTGATAAGCGATGTGGTCACTGCTCTCAGTTTCCTCGGAAATGGTCCAGATGCCAACACTGCTACTTCCTCTTTTCCTTCTCTGGAATCTGATCAGCAACCAATATTTGGAAACGGAGCAAGTTATATTGAAGATAGTAAGAAAGAACGCCAACGAGCCGTGGCAGAAGCCATAGAATGGGGTTCCTCTTCGAGGAACACACAATCACAAACTCATAGTTCGTTGTTGTAGAATTCGCCAACCATAAATACAATGTTGTCTCCATGATATGTATCTCCTCCCTATGGTTCATGTTCCTCGCGGCTTTATCCAACACCAATTTTTTTTTTCTATCCTTTTCTCATCCACCCGTAAGGATGTTGTTGAAACAAGATATTGAGTCAATATAAACGAGGATTCACAGATGAATGTGTATGAGGTTTTCATCAGATTTTTATGTTCTGATTGTGGGATGATCATGTTCTACTATCAATTAAATACCTATGTGGCAAAATGTTGCCTCTTCTGATTATCAGTCCAAGTGATTTGTTGCATAAAAAAGTTTTTTTTTTATTTTTCCTTTGAAGAGTTGTGTTGAGGTCAAAATGGGATGAGGGATGGATCTGACCAGTAGGAAGGCTTTCTGGTTGGTTAGATGGTTCTCCCAATAGAGTTGAGGACAAAACCTGCAAAAATGGGTTATCCTAGGTTTTTGATCATTCCCACAGTGCTGTGTATGTCAATAGGATTTTTTATGAGGAAGAATAAAACTGAGACAAAAAAAAATGAGATCATGTCCTTTGGGATATGCCTGGCGTCTGATATATGTATCTACTATTTTGACAGTACATCTTGCATTCTTATTAACAACAGGAAAAAATATTTTATCTAATATTTTTCTTCTTGTCAAGAGTGTCTACGTCTACCCTAGTGCCCGTAAGCCATTGAAGGAGCCTAACGGGCCTTCATTTGATTGGCCTTCAAGCCCTTGGTATAACAGGGTGCCTTCGGCCGAAGCTTCAAGTCAATACTATGATCTCGACCTGAAGAAGTTGCAGGTGATGATGAATTTCAAAGATCAACACCAAAGTATTTAAATAAATATAGTCATATTAAGTTTTTATAGAATCCGATTTGACCACCTTTTTGGCTAATTTTTCATATTAGTTTCTAACTATATAAGGGTTCTTGTGATTGGAAGCGAGTAGTGTTGCAAATAAGTAAAATAAGATTTACAAGAGGTGGCTGAAAGGACGAAAAGAGCAATCTTTGAAATATTGAGTATTGCGGTAGGTGATGATGAACAAAGGGTTGAGAATAAGTAAGTGATAGAGTAAGACAGAGAATAGGTAGGAGAAGGCTAAGCAGAAGAAGATTTGAGAGGGAATATTTAGAAAGAGAAAAAGCACTAGTAGTGAAAGTGTATTTGTTTTTGTCAAAACAATCTTGTTACTCTAGATGAATTGTCAAAGCGATATGGGGGCATTTGGTTCAACGGAAGTGAAAGACATTTCTTGTAATTTAAATAGTTACAATGACTTTATAGCTTTTGGTTTGTCAAAATTGAATTGAAGGACATTACAATAGGCGAAGGGAATGACATTCCCTTAGCTCAAGGAGGGAATGTTACTTTCCCTCAGCTGCGGGAAAGCTAAATTCTTTTTTTCTTAAATTATCTTGGCTTCTTTTTTCTTCTTTTTCTTCATTTTGCCTTCTTTAAGCCAATGTTTGTTGAAAAAGATGGGTGCAAGGAAGAAGGTGAGAAAAAAGAAAAGAAAAAGAAGATAAAAAAAGGGAAAATGGAAAAAGAGTGCGGTGATGAAGCAATTTTTTGTGGACTAGAGTTTTTGATCTGGGTTTTTCCCAATAGTTGAAGACTAACCCTTGGCTGTTTGAGTATCTTTCTTTTCTAGAAAAAAAAAATGGTGGAGTTTTGTGTAAAAAAATTAATTTTATTTGTTGAGTTAAATAACAAATAATTAAAAGATTATAAATTAATTAATTGACTAATTTATTTATAAAATAATTTAAATTAACTAATTTAATTCTTTACAACTTAACTAATTTATTAAAAGTAATTTTTTTATAAAATAAATTTGAAAAGAACAACTATAAGAAAAATATAGAAAAAAGAAAGTATTTAGAGGGAAAAAAAGTATTTAAAGAGAGTAAGAAGATCTTATTTAAGTATGTATTTACAAATAAAATGAGAGACCTATTTATAGGCCAACAACCCCTTGAATCATAATCCTAATCTAATTCTACTAAAGAGTTCGAATCATATTGCATTTCTTGTATCTTGCCTATTGGGCTGTTTGATATGGTTTGCACTTCTTGGGTCATAATATAATGGACATTTACATATTTATTCATAACACTCTCTCTTGAATGTCCATTATATTAAGAATATGCCTCGTTAAAACCTTATAAGGAAAAAACCTCATAGAAAAAAAATTCAAGTGAAGGAAAAAAAGTACATAATCTTTTTAAGAATATGCTTTTGAAATACTACCTCATTAGAAACATTATCAAGAAAAATTCAGTGGGAAAAACCTTGATGAAAGAAAAAAGTATAATGCATATTTTACTCCTCTGATGACTACATTATAGAGATCTTTAAAATGATACATGTCAATATTTTATACCAACTTTTCAAATGTTACAGTAAGAAAGGCTTTGGTGAACAAAATTACTAGATTGTCACTGGATTATATTTGTTGAACACTAATTTTATCATTTTCTTGAAAATCATGAGTGAAGAAGAATTATGGTGAAAAATGTGTTTTGTTCGAACACCTTTAATATATCCTTCCTTTAACTGTATTATGCAAGCAGTATTATCCTGATATAACATTATTGAAATTTCCTTCTTGGTTGACAAGCCACACGTTTTTTAAATATGTTAACTTTTAGATCTTAACCAGATACATTCATAACTTGCTTATGAGTTGCTAATATTTCTGCATGGTTAGAGGAAGTAGCAACTATAACTTGTTTTACAAAATACTATGAAATAGTCATACCTTTACCTATGAATAAGAAACCTGTCTAGGATTAAGCTTTGTGTGAATTAGATAAATATCCTACATTTGTATAACTAATTAAATTTTATTTTGATGCATTTGAATAATATAAGCCTATATCCATTGTTCTTCAGAGGTATCGAAATATATGTTTACTTCCATTCCAATGTCTTTGAGTTAGAGAAGAACTATATCTTGTTAATAATTTCACAACAATTGATATATCAATTTTTGTATTGCTAACAAGATATATTAGTGCTCCAATTGCAATAAGATATGGTACTTCAAGACTAAAAAGTTCTTATTTATACTCACAAGGTCAGAAAAAGTCTTTTTTTTCACATTTAGCAACCTTACAACCATTAGTGAACTCAATGGATATGCTTTCCTCATATAAAATTGTTTTAGCATTTTTGAGATATAATTTGATTGATGGACAAAGATTCTATTTGCCAAGTGTTCAATTTGAAGACCTAAATAAAACTTTATTTTTTGCAAGGTCTTTCATCTCAAATTCTCTTTTTAAGTAATTCATGGCTTTTGATAACTTTTCAACAGTTCCAATAATGTTCAAGTCATCAATATAAACATCAATTATAATAAATTCATATATAAACTCTTTTATAAAATACATGAGCATATAGGATTATTTTTATAGCTTTTTTTCAACAAATATGCATTAAGACGATTATACCACATGTGTCTGGATTACTTTAATCCATATAAAGATTTATTTAATTTATTCAAGTAAATTTCTTGAGAATTCAAATTTTTGTGCTTGAGACAATTTAAATCCTTTAGGGTTTTTCATATAGATATCGATATCAAATGAGCCATATAAATAGGCTGTAGTTACATTTATTAGAAGCATTTTAATTTTCTCATTTATTGTCAGACTATTTAATAGAGAATTGTAATTATATCCACAACAAAGAATATATCTCTTTATATTCAATATTAAATCTTTAGAGAAAAACTTGTGCGACATGCTGTGCTTTATATCTTATAATCTCATTTTTCTCATTTCGTTTTCACACAAATACTCATATATATACCCCACTAGTTTTACACCATTTGGTGTATGGACTACAAGTCCAAAAACTTTACATTTTGCAATTGAATTCATTTCCACTTTGATTGTATCTTTCCACATTGACCAATCATTTTTTTGTCTACATTCTTCAATAGATGTAGGTTCAAGATTCTTATTTTCTTTCATAATATTGAGCTCTATATTATATACAAAAATATCGTCGACGTTTATTTACTAATTCCATCTTTTTTCATCATGACATAATTTATTGAGATCTTTTTATTTTCACTGATTTCAAGGACTTGAATTTCTTTTAAAAAAATTTTTTATCAATTACATCAAGGGTCTCTTCTAGAGTTTTTACTTCATTTTTCTGATTATCTTAAGTATTTGCTCTTTTTTTTGTTCGAGGATTTTATCTTTGGAATTGATTGGTCTCAACGCTTCTGGCATGCTTTATCCTATAAGGACATTAATGTTAATATGAGCATTTGCAGTTGATATATAAGATTTAGTTATTTTTTTAGGTTAGTAAATACGTCTGACAACTGATTTACTATATTTTGCAAAAGAATTATCTTTTGAACTTCAAGTTCATATTAATTTGTACGATGATCAAAACTAGATAATGATAATTCATTTTAAGAAATTTTTTTTTGCAACTATTTATTTTTTTAGCCTAATGTTGAAAAAATTATTTCATTGATATGACAATTGACAAACTTTGTCATGAATAAATCTCCTATTTATAATTCTAAATATCTAATTGCAAATGAAGATTCATATCCAACATATATTCCTAACCTCCTTTAAAGACTCATCTTTGTGCATTGTGGTGGAGCAATTGAAACATATACCGCACATCCAAAAATTCTTATATGGGAAATATTTTGTTCTCGACCATAAATCAATTGAATAGGGAGAATTTATAGCAACTTGTTTGGCTTGATGCATACAAATGCTGCTGTATCCAAAATGGCATGCCCTCAAGTAAACATTCGGAGTTTGAATTGCATAAGTAATGGCCTTGAATCAATTGAAAGTGTTTAATAAATAATTCTACTAAACTATTTTGTGTATAACCATAAGCAGCAGGTTGTTCAACAGTTATTCCAACTAATACAAATTATTAAAAGCTTGAGATGTAAATTCACCAGCATTGTCAAAATAAATAATCTTGATTATATAACTAGGAA